TGTTCTTCAATTTTCATTGAGGAGGGCGCCAGTCACCATCTGGCTTCCCATCAGCAGCTCATGGCCTCTAAGCTCAAGGTGCTGTGTTCAGTCTTAGTTGCAGGTGGGAGTAGCCACCATCCCATGTGGGAGTCGAACCAGCAGCCTTGGTGTTAAGAGCACACACTCTAGCCACTGAGCCATCTGGGTGCCAAGTTCAGTCTTAGTTACAGATAAGCGTAGCCCACCATAGAACAGGCAGTCTTGTTAGGAGCACATGCTCTCAACAGCTGAGCCATCCTGCCACCTGTTGGCAGCTCAACGGCAGCTCAGCTCGGGCGCAGCGTCACTGGCCCATGTGGGAATTGAACCAGCGGCCCTGTTGCTCAGAGTGCACACTCTTAAGCTAACTCTTAACCAACTGAGCCACTCGGCCAGCCCCTTACCTCTGATTTTTAATAAAGAGCTTGAGAAACTTGTCTCCACAGATGATCCTGACACATGCTCTGACCCTGAGTTGTAAAGATAATTAAAGAGAATTACCCTTATATTGACAGAGACTAAAAGGCATTGTTTTTATTCATAGCTCTTCATACTTTTGGGGGAAAAAAAGAGTTTAATTAACAATGGTGCAAACTGGTAATTAGTAGAACACTTTTAATATGTCCATTTTATCTCAAACCCTGTTATTAATGTATTTTTGGGTCTGTGTATTTTACAATAGTTGGTTTAAAAATCACTTCCCTTAACTGTTGGTGTACGTGCATGTGCTTGTATAGACAGATACAACTCTTCAATGATGAATAGGAGTAATAAAAAAATGGTGTAATTAAAAAAACATTTATTGGATGCGTATAGACCATAGCACCTGTTGTTTATACATGTCAACATTGAAAATGGAAATGCACAGACTGATGAGCCAGATATTAATCAAATTAGAATCAGCACCAGGTCTTACAAGCATTACTCCCCAAATGCTGGAGTAAAAAATTTATTCCACACTGCCACATTTTTCAAGTTTGCATACGCAAATATTTGAACCATTATGCATGTTTTAATAATCGATAAGAAAGCTAAGATAAATTACTACTTTAACAGTTATTTTAAATGAATATCAATAGTCTACTGCATTTGAAAAAGATGAAATTGAAGCTATATGACCTTAGAAGGAAACATTCTCCATTAGTTTCAGAAACATTAATAGTACTGAGTTTTCAATTTAAATGAACATAAAGTCACTAGAAACAAATTTCCTGACTAAATCAGGCAGATTTTCCCATTTGTTTTTAGGAGGCTATCTGGCACCAAGCAGTAACTGAGGAAGTGTTTTGGAAACTGGTTTGTACTGCTGATGCTAAGTTAAAAAAGTGTAGAAATACATGTGATTTAATGAAGTCATTTAATGTATTTAATCAGAACTGACAGATAAAGATAATTAAAAAGCATACACAATTAGGTTTATATTTTTCAAGGGGACACAATTAATAACTTAATTTTAAAAAATTATTTCACTGAGGCACTGGGAAATAGAGAAAAATCTAGCTATGATATTTTGTGAATAAATTCAAGAACCAAAATTAAATTCCCTACTTAATTTTTAGTTTTTAGCCCCTGAATCCCAAAAGATACTCTGCAAATTAAATAAGATGGGCACAGACTACAAGGGAAATAAATTAAAATAAACACAAGCTTATTATCAAACATTTAGACTAGAAATCATAGGTTTTACTCCATCAGAAAAAGAAACAAAGGCAAAGACGATGAAAAAAATAGAAACATGAATCAGTAAGGTTTTCTGACAACTGGGAAAGATTAAACAAAGCATGTTTGTTTGTATAAGCATTTTCACAACTCAAACAACCTAAATTTAAAGGGATCATAGGACCTGCTTACAAAGTAAAAATGCAGACTCTAAATGATGACAGACTGTGGAAACCTAAATAAGGAAATTGAAACTGAAGGAGTTACAGGACCAGTAAATTATGGCTCAAGGAGAGAAAATTGGCCTGAAATTTCTGCTGCTAAGTTAAAAAAAAAAGTATTTACATACATATATAATATATACACAAGGGCTGACAATTAAGCTCACAAACTCATCCTAGAAAAAGTGCTACATACACCATTGCTGAATACCATTACAGTCACCTTCTAAGTACTCCCCTTGAGAAGCTATGCACCAACACCAGCGCTTGGTCCACCCTTCAAAGCAATTCTGGAACTCTTTTGCTGGAATGGCCATCAGACCTGTCATTGTATTACCCTTGATGTCTTGAATGTCATCAAAATGTCTTCCTTCAATATTTCCTTTACTTTTGGGTAAAGAAAGAAGTCATTGGGGGCCAGATCAGGTGAGTAGGGAGGGTGTTCCAATACAGTTATTTGTTTACTGGCTAAAAAGTCCCTCACAGACAGTGCCGTGTGAGCTGGTGCATTGTCGTGATGCAAGAGCCATGAATTGTTGGTGAAAGGTTCAGGTTGTTTAACTTTTTCATGCAGCTTTTTCAGCACTTCCAAATAGTAAACTTGGTTAACTGTTTGTTCAGCTGGTACAAACTCATAATAATTAATCCCTCTCATATCAAAAAAGGTTCACAACATCGTTGCAAACAAGTTCGCAAACTTAATTGTCCAACCTCGCATATACTGCTAAATTTTTCTCACCTTTTACTAGTTTATAAGACTCTGAATTTTAATGAGAACATCAAAGATAATGTTATGCAATGCTAGAATCATTATATGTTTTCAATTCAACAGGCAAAGGTAACAATATTGCATAATGTTCTTCTCCCCTACCCCCACTGTCAAACTCTAATTTTCTAATTTTCTGGTAAACAAATGAATGACCCATACCCATCTACCAGTAGATTTCATGGATAATTCTGTTCATGTGAAAAAATAAAACTGAATTCTGAAGGGGCAGAATTCTGGCAGGCATTACATCCGATTCTGCCATCAACACACACGATATGCGAAGAGAAAGAACAAGGGCATTATGACGTGTTGAGTGACCATGTGAAACTGGATGCTTGCATCTCCAATAAAGACCTGGAGCTTCCTTTTCACGAATAACATTTTTGCTGACTAATTGGATTTGTTGTTTGATCATGAAAATAGTGGCGTGTGCTCCAGCAAATCCAGGCAAACATCTCTCCCTGCACTGTCCGGAGCAGCCTGGAGAGGAGTGGGTCTGAGTCCTAGCTCTGAGGTCTGTGTGTCTCACATTAAGTCAGCGTATCTGAGATCCCGATGCCTTATTTGTAAATGAAACGAATCACCTTCATTGCTTCTAATGTGGTGTTTCCAAATCGGAAGTTTTCTAACTTAATAAAGGAATTGCAACTTACACCAATGCTGGGTCTGAGCGCAGGCTTTAAGAAGCTAAGGGAGACATCTGGAACACCTCCAAGGTCTAGGTCAGCAGGGATCTATATCCTGCCGCTTGCTGAATTTTTCACATATTGCAACAGCGAGTCAATACATTTTAAAAATGACAGCTCAGCACAAAGTTGTAGTTTCCTCTAAACGCCTTTCTTCTATTCTAAAAGGACCCGGATTCTCATCTTCTACATAAAGTGTGACATCAGTAGAAAACTAATCCCACGTAGCCATAATCTGGACTCTATAAAATAACACTTTAAGGAAAGAGTGGGGAGGAGGTGAGGTTCTGGGCACACATGTAAACTGGGTCAAGTTTGTCTTGTTGCTTCAGCTTTCCATCTGCGATGGGAGGCCCTTCTCTCAAGGGTGAGATGGAGTTCAGGTGTGAATCGAGAGACTGTCAGGAATGAAGCCGCTAGGGTTTAGCTTTAGCAAGGGAGACTCCAGGTTGTTGAGTCCGTATGAGGCCTCCATCTCTGCCCCCTGGGCACTTTATTCACAGGCTCATTCAACAAGCACTAAGAGTGGCTGGGATTAAAAACTGACTGATATCCGTGGGTCAGGTCATCTTAGTCACTGATGTATTGATTTATTAAGAGTTCTTTCCTCCTTGTTACCTTTCTTCCAATAGTCTCATTTCCAGGGCCCCGACCAGCTAATAAACTTGCTAGCTACTCTTATGAATCAGCATAGGTCTGCAACTCGGGGCCTCTCCCCTTCCCTGCCAAGTAGACAACTGGATGTTGTGTTGTTTTGGAGGATTTTCTTTAGCCCCTTTCCCTCACGGCCACCTCTGAGTGGGGCTGTAATGCTGTGGCAATCTACTTCCTGTCATGTGTTAGCACACAGCGCCGAGACAGGGATGCCAGTTAAGAAAGAAGTGGCGAAGCGGCAGGAGCAGATACCACGGGATTCTGAGCTACGCACTCACTCATTTTTTGTAGCGCCTTCTGCTTCTGGTAAAGCTCAGTCTCACGCAGGCCATGTTCATGTAACACTGAATTTGTGCTGCACATGCACAGTTTTGAGACTCAGTGGGTCATAACAGGGCAGTTCAGATTACACAGTCACTTGATGTGGCATGCTCTGGACTTCAGTCTCTACTAAATCAAGCCAGAAGCTGATTTTCAAATGGGAAATGGTTACTAGCAAAAGAGGACATGACCCTACTCCAAAACCCTAGGGCTTTCCTATCAGGGTTTACTAGATACATCACAAACCCCTTCTGTCTGCTACAGGCTCTTCAAATAGAAGTTGGTCCTCTGTGTCCTGAGGCCTAGGTGACAAGGCAGCGTACACTGCACTTGTACCTGCTGCAGAATATTTACATGCTCTAACACCACTCAAAACTGCCTTGTGGATTACTCAGTAATTAAATCAAAGAAACATGCCCAAACATGGTTTATGCGGCCCCTGCTATTCAATGAGACTCACTAAATTGTGCCTCTTTCTTTGCATTGGACCATGTGCTGTGCCTCTCATTTTAGGAGGGGTATCCCAGCCAGCTCCAGGCTACACAGAGGCCTAGAAACTTCACTTATGAGGATGTGAAGGACCCAGCCCTTTTGTGGGGTTTACCTCCCATTCTTTGGCATGTATGTATTTTAGAAAAGCATCTCTGGTGCTTGCTATTTCCCACTTACCTGATCAAATGGGTCTAAGACACATGGCAAGGCTGCATATTTCATTGGCATTGCAATTTTACAACTCTTAAGAGTCAGGCCGTGGACTTCATCTTCAGCCATATCTGCTTTGCAGCTGCAGGGGAGAAAACATACCTTTAGAGCAACCATAAAGGCTTTGGAACTGTCCTTTCTGTAATGACTTTAGCATTCCAGGCTTGTCCTTACAGTTTGTCCTGTTCTCTTTACACACTCTAGAGGACAGTCAAATATAACCAGCTCAAGTCTCACACTTTTATAATCACCATTGTCCCCAAAGTGATCAAGTGTCACAGTCACTTGAGCTTCCAATATTGTGCCCTCGACCTACTTTCTATTCCATGCCATCATATGCAATAACTTGAGTAACAGTGATGCCACTACGTGCCACGATTACTTGTCATATGTCCCTGTGGCAAGGAGGCTATCTGCATTCTTCACTAATGTGTTAGCAACTCAATTATAGAATCTCATTTTAAAGGTTTATTTTCTGGGGTTACTTCTGATGCCAATTACTCTTTGTAGGATCCTAGAAGGAACCAGATGCCATACTTAAAATGAGAGGTTAAAGAGAAATTAATGAAGGGATTATTTAAAATTTATGGGCAGGGTTAAGGGAAACCAATAAAAAATGGCAATGTTTCCTTGGACTAGCAATAGCTGGAAGCTGATACCACTCCTAGATATATATGTGGTTCTTAGGAGAATTGACTTGTTTTTGGAAAGTATATAAATAAAATGCATGCTTACTTTGAATGTGGAAAAATGAAGTATTTCATAGTCTGTAATAGAATAATTTATTTTCATATCAGTGATATACCATAGAATGGCCATCAATATAACATCAGTAAAACTGCAGTGATGCAAAATGGCAACATTAGCCCTGAGGTTTAAGCAACATAAGTACATATTAGTATTATTTAAAATGTGTGAGTTTTATTGGATATGGTCTCTTTAAGATCTACCTTTATATTTTATTAATTTGACACCCTTAGAATTATTTGTTAGAAAAGTGTACATGCTAGAAAGTGTTTCCTGGGTTGAATGATGACCCTCAAAAATGTATGTCCACATCCAGAACCTGTGAATATAACCTTATTTGGAAAAGGGGTTTTTCCGGATGTAATTAAGCTAAGAGTCTTGAGATTTTCCAGGTGACCCCTAACTCCAATGACAAGCATCTTTATACGAGATACAGAGGAGAGACACAGAGGAGAGGAAAAAGCCACATGAAGACAGAGGCCAAGAAGCTTTTGGAGCCATCAGGAGCTGGAACCGATGAGAAAGCCCTTCCCCTAGGCCCTTTGAAAGGAGCATAGCCCTGCCAACACCTTGATTTCAGAATTTCGGCCTCAAGAACTTTGGAAGAGTTCATTTCTGTTTTAAGCCATCACATTTGTGATGATTTGTTAGTGCAGCCCTAGGAAATGAATAGAGTCATCCACAAACATTTTGCTTCAGCACATTTTTCTGGTGGAAACTATGCTAGGCATTCAGGGCATAAAAAATGACTGCAGTATAATTCCTTCACGAGCTCACTTTTTAGAGGGCAAACAGACACATATACAATTAACTCATTGTAATAATGTTGAGCTAGCAGTATGCGGGAGCACAGGAAGAGATTATGAATTTTGGAAAGGTTATTCAGGAAATGTCAAGTGGCCTGATCAGGTTGGAGTATAAGGGTGCTTGATGGAGAGAAACGAGAGATGAGACTGGAAAAGAACATAGGGATAAATTTTTAATGGCCTTGATTACTATTCTTAAGCTCAAAATTCATCAAAAATTTATTTAGACCATATTATGTGCCAGTGGTATGCTAAAGATTTGGAATTTAGTGGTTGGCAAGGTAGACACAAATCCTGCCTTCATTAAAGAGAAAAAGAACCTCGATTGATTAGCCATGCGCCTATGGGGAGTGGGCATGCTTACAGTACATTTCTTAGCCATGCTTTTGGAGATGGGGAGCTTTTGAGGGTTTTCAACCTGAGTAGTGATCTGAATGTCATTGTATTTCATGGGAATCACTCAGTCGTTGAGAAGGATGCGCTGGTCTGGAAAGAGACCCAAGACAAAGAGATCTATAAGAGACTATGGTAACAATCTTGAAAGAAATTACAAGAGTCATTCGTAATTAGGGAAGAAGCAGGAGGAATGGGGAAGGATAGTCAGATTAAAGCTATGTTCTAGAAGCAAAATTGATAAGATCTTATAATTAATTGAGTAAAAGGAGCGAAGATGTTGTGGAAGCCTCTGATCCTCTTAAGCTTACATTATTACCAATCTATGTCAACTTTGTAAAATGCACCATTATTTTATCTATCACTAAGAAAGAAGAGAAATTTGATTAAACTATGACATTATGCATTCCTGTCCCTTAGAGTTTTTCTTTTGAACCAAATGAAAGAGCTATTTTAGATTCCTTTAGACAAATTTTTTAAAATTATATTTCATATTTCTGAAAAGGAAAACAGAAGCAAAATAAATGGGTTAAAGCATTCCTAAAACATTTCACATTTGGAATCTAAGCTCTTACAAGTCATTTTTTTTACTCAGAATTGTCAAAATCCATTTGTCTATACAATATTGTCCTCTGTGCCAACAAAAGTTCTCCACTATTGTTTCTGAGATTTTCTTTGAAGTTGTAAGCTTTGATTTGGGCACTTTGTTGATATTATAAGAACGTGTCAAAGGAAGGCTTTTAGACAATGTTTAGTATTTACATGCCTTCAAGTGATCCTCAAAATTTTTCTTGACTGAAAGGTCAAGGAATTGCCATTGTCCAGCTATGTCAACAGGAATAACTAAGACTTTCATGAATGCACCAGAAATGAAAATGATCAATTATGAGATATAGCTTGATATCAGAGATGTTAAAATGAGTGGGGAGAGATACACTTTAGAATTAATGAAATACAGGAATGATGACTTTAAATGAGACAGGCAGGACAGGGATGCAAAAAGTTCAAACTAAATTGTTTTACTGTTATTTCACTAGAAACACAATTGTTGTGCATAACTCTCAGAATATCATAGAGGAATGAATGAGTGATAGTGCATATTTTGAACATATGCTTCCTTAAACTATGTACTATAATATTGTAGTAAGATTCCCAGATAAATTTGTTAGTAATAAAGTGTGTGCACATTTGGTTGAAATGTGTATGGAGGCGCTTCCTATCTCCCTCCTTAGGTACCCTCACAAGGATTGTGTTGTGTGCGTTCTCTGACAGCTCACACTTAGGCCAGGCAGTGGCACAGACGCACCCTTGGCTGCTTCCATTAAGTACTAGATAGAAAGAAAAGGCAAACCTCAAAGGTACATTCACCTGGCTACATTTGACACCTAGAGAATTTTTGTTTAGAAACCATTAAGCTCATCAGAGTCTGTACTAAAAAGTTTTTTTTTGGTTTGGTTTTTTTTGGGGTTTTTTCTAAAGAAGGTTATTTAGGCTGGTCTCTATTACCTACCATTTGAAGAACCACCAGTGCGTTTAACCAGGATCAGAGGAAACCAGGCAGTAGAGTGGAAATTACTTTTTACTTAGGTTAGCTAAGTTTTACAATTATTAGCTTCATTTTGAACTCATGCATTCCAACAGCTTGTTTATTTTTCCTAGTAACATGTACAGCAGCAAATGAGAAAATATTTAACTCTGAGTTGACACCTTGAAAACACAGTGAAACAGACTCTTTCAGAAAAAAATGAATTAAACAATAATGAACTTATCTGAGTAGTGGGAGGGGATGTGATGTGCACATTTTGGAGTTAGGCAGAACTAAGTTCAAATAGCACCGACACCATAACCTCCTTGCTGTGTGAATTTGTAACATATTTAACCTCCTTGAGCTTTACTGGCAAAATGGATATGTCAATGTTTTATTTGTAAGGATTAAATATGATGAATAATATAAGATGCCGTGAACATGGTAGGCACTCAGTTAGTAGTAGCTACCATTATTACTGTTGTTTGCCTAATTCAGCATTGCACAGATTCAGCAATTACAGGAATTCCTTAATTTAAATGGAATCTTCACCTTTGGGAAGGGCAGCAGCAAGCCAGTTTAGACAAGGTCTGTGTGCTTTGTTATTAGAGAAAACCATATGAAACTGCCATTTTTGTATGTCAAAAATGGTGCAATCTCAACAATTTCATATATGGGCTTGTTCAATGCATCAGCTTGTTACATGACATTTTGCTTCTTTCATTACTGCTCTTTAAAATTGTCAATAAAAATCCATCATTGCTGGGATAAGAAGTCAATATGGATATTAATTATCTTTTTAGTATTTTGTCTTTCAGTGGTATTTTATTTTTGTACTATTAAATAACTTGAGTAGTTGCTATAGCAAATTATAAAAATTAGAAGACAAATCAAGAAAAAAAACACGAGAAATAACAATTAATAAACGAAATGTGTAATGCATTTCCATCTGTATTCACATCATTTGATCAGGCCTTTTTGGTACCATCAAGAAACAGTGAGGAGGCGGTCCCTGTACCAAAATCCCGCCCTTTGTTGTGTGTTGAATATGTCTCCGTTTATTAAGATGATTTACAAACTGAGACTATATGGAGCTAAAATAGGAGAGGTGCTGAAAGCTGCCCCAAGATAAAATGTGACACTTGATAATTATACATTGTGTTGCACCTTCTCCCATCTTATTCTCTCCTATTTTCACCTGAAAACCAGAGGTGAACGTGTGTGACATGTACGTTATGGTCTGTTTATTATTCTTGGCAACAGTTAGGATTCCTAATCTGACTTAATAAAATTATGCTGATATTTTTCACAGCTACATGTCACTCACTGATAAAAACGAATTGGACTTTGGGCACCATCAGGCTTGTACTCCCAAACAATAACTCTTTTTCCTTGAGAAGACGTTTGTGTATCCTGATGGGGACAAGAAGTAAAGTGCAAGTGATTGGAAACTGTGCTTTACATACAGAATTTCACTTCCATTTGATCCCATAAGCTTAAGAAATGAGAACAAATTAACTGTTGTAGCTCAATTTCAAGTTTTTTCAACAAAGTTATACTTCAGATGTCTTAACTCCAGTTTAAGAAGGTTAAACAAAGGCAAAATAAAGG